ATTTTCAAATACGACATTGCATATTAATTATTAGGATCATCCTGGTCAATATTTTCTATATGTCACGCCAGTTTTTGCAAAGTTAATATATGGCAACTATTTAAACTAAAATTTCATAGCATATATTGTATTTAATGAATAGGAAAATTAAAATTAAATACAGTTCAATTAACATTAAGTCTATGGGTTAAAATATGAATTCTTGTATGTTTAACTTGTAACTTCAATTTTGTGGCCATTTCTAAAGATATTCAAATAATTTTTTCTTTAATTTTATTCTTCAATATATAAGCTTTAATTTGGTATAAATATCGATAGAATCTAATTTAATTAAATATACTAAATCTTACTTCCAATTCGTTCAAATGTTTATCCCATTTAGCTGTAAGTGATTACAAGTCACATATGATTTACTTTAAATACAGCAAAATTGTTGTCAATTCAATGCCTAAACCGTATGAAACAGATTGTATTGAACGGAAAGGATGTGATTATAAATCGCTAACCGATTGCATCGACAAATGCCGTATCAGAGCCTATAAAGACCGGTGGCCCGACTCGTGGCCCGGAAATTATCTCACATACAATAGCGATAACATATCACTTGATTATAAAATGATTGATATTTACAGCCATATGGATGAGGATTTTGATTTTGAATTAAACTATAAATGTAAAAATGTTTGCGGTTTTGGCAGTGAATGCAAATCACAGTATTTTGATTTGAGAGCCAATTCGAGATCCAATAAGTTTCTCAAGAGATCTAATCATTTGGTGTTTTACGGCCCGCATATTCCGGACCTAATATACACTCATTCACCCAAAATACTCTTTGAAGAGTTTGTCTCATATATTGCCTCTTATGTTAGTCTATGGTTTGGTTTCTCTATTATAATGCTATCAAATGTTATACACGTTTGCTATCAATATATTTATCAAAAATTCTGTTTTAATTTTAATTGCATTACAATTAAAAACAAGTTTAATGTAAGAAAAATTAACCTAGCTAATATGAGGTCAATTTGCCCGCACTAAGATTTTGATTAATGAATTGATCAATATTTTATAACATAAGATCTAGGTAAATTTAAATTTAGTTTGTCGTATATTCAATGATTTCTCAATGATTCACTGATCAATTTGATATACTCAATGATTTATTGTTATCACTATGAACATTTTTATTAAATATTGCAAATCTTGTGACATTTGTATTCATTTTAAATATAATAAAAACATATTTCAAAAGAGAAAATAGATTTTAATAATAATAATAATCACAAATATATAATTTACAAAGATTTTATATTCAATACAAATATAAATTATACATGTGTCAAGTTAGGTTAGGTTAGGTTAGGTTTAACAATTTACGGTACGTGTACTTTATAAAGTAGTCAACAGAATAATCAATATATTTATGGGACTCTTTTGACACACTTTTGACAACTCATTAATTATTTACACGTTATAAACATGTTTTCATGGGTTATGGTTAGTAAACGTATGGTTTATTTGTTTGAATATTGAATTTTAAAATCAATTCATATATAATTAGCGCTAATTTTAATCAACATTTTTAAAGAGGAAATAATTAAAAACTTTTCATAACTTTTTAGTGTAAAAAACTAAATCACACGTTATTTGTGTAAAACCAAAATAACCACACGTTTGTGTGTTTCCCTACAATTACACCCCTATTATATAATGCCTATCGCTCTATACGGGACGCCCATTGGTCGCAACAATTGGCGGCAGAGAGTAAAGCGAGCGCTGATTGGTTGTTAACATTTTCATACATGAAAACAATAAATGTGGGAAAATATTGGCGGCAATAGAGAGACAACAGAAAGTGATTGAGTTTTCTGATCACAAGTCCTGTGCTTTCATTGCAAACACAGATCACAACTCAATTGATCCCAAACTTATTGGACAACACTTTTGTGGACACAAATTGTTAGGCAATGTCTTCATCGGAAGACGACGAGTACGTGAGCGACGGCTCCGACGGTTCGGACTTCGGCGCGAAGGAGACCTCGAAGAAGGCCACGAAGAAGACAACCAATGGTAAGGCGAAGGCGTCGGGAGACAAGAGGCTGTCGGTGGAGAGGATATACCAGAAGAAGTCACAGTTGGAGCACATCCTCCTCCGACCCGACACTTACATCGGTTCCGTCGAGAGAGAGACCAAAGTATGTCATCAATTGAATGCCATTTTGTGTCACTCTTGTGGCCGCCATTGCGTTAACGGATCCACTCATTGATTGTGTTTGTCTTCGGCAGCAAATGTGGGTCTTTGACGAGGAGAAGGGAATGGAGTTGAGGGACATCTCATACGTTCCCGGACTCTACAAGATCTTCGACGAAGTGCTGGTCAACGCCGCCGACAACAAGCAGCGCGACGCGAAAGGCATGTCTTGTATTCGCATCGATATCGACGCGTAAGTACTCCAGAGGTCGGCCACAAACTGTCGGTCACTATATGTGTGTTAACAGCGAATGATATCTCAATATTGGTGTCCATTATATGTCTGTATAGCGAGAAGAATGAGATAATAATCTTCAACAACGGAAAAGGCATTCCAGTGATTGAACACAAGGACGAGAAGATGTTTGTGCCGACACTGATCTTTGGCCATCTGTTGACGTCTTCCAACTACGACGACGACCAGAAGAAGGTCGTGGGCGGCCGTAACGGCTACGGCGCCAAACTGTGCAACATTTTCAGCACACGTTTCAAAGTGGAGACCAGTTGTAAGGAGTATAAGAAGGCCTTCTGTCAGGTGTGGACCGACAATATGAAGACCACTTCAGAGCCGAAGATCTTCCCCGCCGTCGGCGAAGACTACACCCGAATCACGTTGGTTTAATATAAAAAGTTATTTTATAATTTTTTTCAAAATATTTTTAGCTACATTACGAATTTAATTAAATTTATAACTTATAATATTTTATTGCTGATAAAAAATATAATGAAAAGTTTGTATTATCATTATTATATAAATAAAACTTAAATTAATATTTTTAAAAGATACTTCATTAAAATTATTTTTATTGAATACAAATATTTAAAAATTTTATCATTTCTGTAATTAAATATTGATCAAAATCAAACAATGGACATTATTGATTTTCAGACATAAAACTAATTTTAATTACACTTTGTCCTCGACGTGAGATGGGTTGGGCAAATAATCTTATAAACATTCAATATGACCATGGGTGTCAGTATGCAATTATTTCACAAACAATAATAGTAACATGCTGAAACGCAACAACTTAAAGGTAAACAATCGATATAATCATGATGGTATACCCTTTTAGTATTGATTCAGAGTATAATATTATAATGTTAGTAATTATGCTATTAGTATACAAATTAAAGAGTTGTTGCGTTTCAGTATGTTACTATTAATATGTTATTTAATTTGTATTTTCTTTTGAATTTATAAAATTTAATTAATATTGCATAATCTATTATGTCAACAATTACAATTTTGTTAAATAATTTGTGAATAAAATATTTCCATACACTGCATGACTAAAAACATGGTAGACAATAAAAGAAAACATTGATTTATTTTCTGAATTGACTTAAAAATGTGTTTTCATTATCATTAGTTGTAATTTGCTTTGAAATATTTTGTAAAATATTAATTTTGCAATTAAAATGTAAAATATTGTAAAACATTTCTGTTGACAGAATAAATGTCTGTTCCACAGTAGCTTAAAATATTTTATACAGTATTTAATATTTAGCATAATTGAATAACAAGTTCCTATTTGGTCATCTACGAGATAATGTATACAATTTGTAGATAATGCTAATCTATTACTAGGGAGCAATACCCGTGTTATTGACTGTTGTGACAATTGATTTAATTTCGATGCTATTTGTGTTAAATTGGAATTACTGTATATTAAACTCTTTTCGGTAAAAACTAAACGTATTTTTTCATTATTGCGAAATAAAATTCACAAATATATGTCAATAGAGATAATAATAAGCCGTAAATATAGAAATTAAAAATATTTGTCAACTGATTTAAATTCAATTTACTCTTGTATTGATTTTCATTATTTGAATCGAGTTTTAAGTAATTTGTAACATGTTTAATAAATAATATTTCCTTCCAGTAGTCAATAAGTCCAGCGTTTATTATCTGTGAAATACTAAAAATTAAATAATAAATATACTAAAATTTTTAAATAATTTAGTAACTTAAAACTATAATTTAGATTATACTTAACTTACATTTTATTGAATTGATCAATAAATTTGAAATCATTGCTGAAAGCAATAGCTATTAAATCATTAAAAAAGCTACAGTCCTTATAAACGAGAAGCACATAATAATGGGGCCAACGTTTGTCAATATATATCATCATGAAAGTTCTATTCATAATATAGACATATTTGCCGCAAAATCGCTTTAACAAATCAAATGCGTTTTTGTCGGAATCAATCATTTCTATGGATATATCGGTTCCTGAATATAATTTCTAAAATTTAATAAACAAATAATTTTAATTAAATTTTATATAAAATTAATGTAATATAATATTATTTATATAATTTACACTTATTTCTTTGATAGTTAATAAATAGATTGGCGTATTATTTACAAGGATTTTTATTTCGCCGTTAATTTGTGCCCGAAATAATCATCTATGGTTTCAATGCGAAAAGGTTTTAATGGCATTGAAATCCCGGCAAACAATACTCCACTATAGCTATGTCTCCATACAATTGTCGATAAAAGCCATACAATAATCAGTAATCGTATTGTAATTTGTAATGAAATCTCACGAATAGATTGCGATAATAGTATTGCTATAAAATCACAATTTATTGTTAATTGTTTATATTTGAAGAAATGTATTGAATTATATATGAAATACAATAAACCCATCGATAATAATAATGATAACCAAATTTATGCATCAAATGGTTGTGTTAATAATGTGTTGTATCGGTCGGTAGTGTTGAGTACGGGTGCCGTAAATGTTACACTTTCTATGTTATATGGGAAACCAAATGACACCACTTTTTCCCTTTCAGGAGATATATCAATAGTTAACATTCCAATACCAATGTCTGCCCGCTATGCGAAAATTTATATATATTTATTGAATTTAAATAATTGACTATAATTAACAAATTTGAGTCTTGGTGTAGTTGTGCTACCCGTTTTCAAAAATTTTTTTAATTAACATATTATACATGAAATCCAACACAAAACACGATTAAAACATAAAATTTTTCACAGATTTGACCAACGGTAAGTCATGATGCCGTTCAACAGTCACAGAGCCGGCATAACAGTAAATATCCAAATACTTGTAAAATACTTTTACTACAGATTCGACCAACGGTAAATCATGATGCCGTTTAAAATTAACTAAGCCGGCACAACAGTAAATATTGAAATACGCAAAAAATACGTCTACCGCAGATTCGACCAACGGTAAGTCATGATGCCGTTCAACAGTAACAGAGCCGGCACAACAGTAAATATCCAAATACTTGTATTGTTACTGTTGAACGGCATCATGACTCACCGTTGGTCGAATCGATAGTAAAAGTATTTTACAAGTATTTGGATATTTACTGTTGTGCCGGCACAACAGTAAATATCCAAATACTTGTAAAATACTTTTACTACAGATTCGACTAACGGTAAGTCATGATGCCGTTCAACCGTAACAGAGCCGGCATAACAGTAAATATCCAAATACTTGTAAAATACTTTTAATACAGATTCGACCAACTGTGAGTCATGATGCCGTTCAACAGTAACAGAGCCGGCATAACAGTAAATATCCAAATACTTGTAAAATACTTTTACTACAGATTCGACCAACTGTGAGTCATGATGCCGTTCAACAGTATCAGAGCCGGCACAACAGTAAATATCCAAATACTTGTAAAATACTTTTACTACAGATTCGACCAACGGTAAATCATGATGCCGTTTAAAAGTAACAGAGCCGGCACAACAGTAAATATTGAAATACGCAAAAAATACGTCTACCGCAGATTCGACCAACGGTAAGTCATGATGCCGTTCAACCGTAACAGAGCCGGCATAACAGTAAATATCCAAATACTTGTAAAATACTTTTACTACAGATTCGACCAACGGTAAGTCATGATGCCGTTCTTGTAAAATACTTTTACTACAGATTCGACTAACGGTAAGTCATGATGCCGTTATACAGTAACAGAGCCGGCACAACAGTAAATATCCAAATACTTGTAAAATACTTTAACTACAGATTCGACCAACGGTGAGTCATGATGCCGTTTAACAGTAACAGAGCCGGCATAACAGTAAATATCCAAATACTTGTAAAATACTTTTACTACAGATTCGACTAACGGTAAGTCATGATGCCGTTCAACCGTAACAGAGCCGGCATAACAGTAAATATCCAAATAATTGTAAAATACTTTTACTACAGATTCGACCAACTGTGAGTTATGATGCCGTTCAACAGTAACAGAGCCGGCATAACAGTAAATATCCAAATACTTGTAAAATACTTTTACTACAGATTCGACCAAGGGTGATTCATGATGCCGTTCAACAGTAAATATCCAAATACTTGTAAAATACTTTTACTACAGATTCGACCAACTGTGAGTCATGATGCCGTTCAACAGTAACAGAGCCGGCATAACAGTAAATATCCAAATACTTGTAAAATACTTTTACTACAGATTCGACCAAGGGTGATTCATGATGCCGTTCAACAGTAACAGAGCCGGCACAACAGTTAATATCCAAATACGTAAAAAATACGTCTACCGCAGATTCGACCAACGGTAAGTCATGATGCCGTTATACAGTAACAGAGCCGGCACAACAGTAAATATCCAAATACTTGTAAAATACTTTTACAACAGATTCGACCAAGGGTGAGTCATGATGCCGTTCAACAGTAACAGAGCCGGCACAACAGTAAATATCCAAATACTTGTAAAATCCTTTTACTACAGATTCGACTAACGGTGAGTCATGATGCCGTTTAAGAGTAACAAGCCGGCACAACAGTAAATATACAAATACTTGTAAAATCCTTTTACTACAGATTCGACCAAGGGTGAGTCATGATAGCCGGCACAACAGTTAATATCCAAATACGTAAAAAATACGTCTACCGCAGATTCGACCAACGGTAAGTCATGATGCCGTTCAACAGTAACAGAGCCGGCACAACAGTAAATATCCAAATACTTGTAAAATCCTTTTACAACAGATTCGACCAAGGGTGAGTCATGATGCCGTTCAACAGTAACAAGCCGGCACAACAGTAAATATACAAATACTTGTAAAATCCTTTTACTACAGATTCGACCAAGGGTGAGTCATGATGCCGTTCAACAGTAACAGAGCCGGCACAACAGTAAATATACAAATACTTGTAAAATACTTTTACAACAGATTCGACCAAGGGTGAGTCATGATGCCGTTCAACAGTAACAGAGCCGGCACAACAGTAAATATTAAAATACTTGTAAAATACTTTTACAACAGATTCGACCAACGGTGAGTCATGATGCCGTTTAAGAGTAACAGAGCCGGCACAACAGTAAATATCTAAATACGTAAAAAAATACGTCTACCGCAGATTCGACTAACGGTAAGTCATGATGCCGTTCAACAGTAACAGAGCCGGCACAACAGTAAATATCCAAATACTTGTAAAATCCTTTTACTACAGATTCGACCAACAATGAGTCATGATGCCGTTTAAGAGTAACAAGCCGGCACAACAGTAAATATACAAATACTTGTAAAATCCTTTTACTACAGATTCGACCAAGGGTGAGTCATGATGCCGTTCAACCGTAACATAGCCGGCA